TCAACTTTTTCCTTTTATGTATGTCCCCGACCGCGACCTTATTAGCTGCAGATCATCGCCATCCTGAAAGTAGCACAGTTTTGTATTTAATAAAAGGAAGCAAAAATATTATTATTATTATTATTATTATTAGTTGCTTTTATTATTGAAGAATTATGTGTAAGATTTCTCTCCGAACAGAAAATGGACCGAACTTGTGCTCACTTGTTCGATGCGGTTCGCTTTCTGATCTATTAAACTGTTACCAAATTTTTGTTGCTTAAATAAGCAACGCAGTAAATCACACGAACCCCATAAAAAACCGATCAAAATGAAGGCAGATGCTGACAATTTGTTTTCGTGCTTTAACCATGTGTTGTGCTATCCCTTAACAATTCCTTTCGAGAGGAATTGCCCCTGTGGAGTGAACCAGTTTAACCGGCCTGGGAAGTTGTTCACACCAGCCAGGATGATTCTTGTTATCTGTTTATTTGGGAAAATAAACTTCACGAAAAGATGATTCCCCATTTCTGGCCGTGGTCAGAAGATCAAGATCAATCAGACCTATGCTTGTTGTATCCCGTCGGCGCTGTCTGCCTTCCGCATTCCTTTGTGTCCACAGGCCATGGCGGATTCCTGAAAACTGATTATGCATTGGTATATTTCCTCGATAACGGGGACCTAAAATCAGTATGTATTTTCAAACATTCAGCTGGTTTCATGTGACTAATGGAGAATTTGATTCAATTTCAAAAGGGAAATTCGTCGTGAATATAGCAAGTGAAGCGTAAATTGAAAAGCTGGGAGGCACCGGACAAGTGTTTTAGCCAGACTGGGTCTCATAAGCAGTGAGTGAATTCATCGACCAAACTAGCAATCGAACCCGGTTTGTGCTCTGCCTATGAGGTCCCCGGTTCGATCCCCAGTTGGGTCGACGAATTTGCTCACTGCTTATGAAACCCAACCAGGTCGAAACAGCTGTCCAGTGATTCCTAGCTTTTCAGTTCCCCTTTGAAACGAGCTGGTTTATCAGAACAAAAGACTGAATGGCCTGAATATTTTTGAACTTACTTCTCATCGGTAATCAAACAAGTACCGGTTACACATGTTATAGTTTTTCACCAAAATGCATTGCTCTTGACTTCTTGAAGAACGATGGAAAAACAGTATCGTTTTTAATATATATTACAAAACTCAAGTTACTAGTTGACTCTATGTGACAAATGGGCATATTTTAGCAAATAGAAATACCAGAATAGGTAAAAAAAGGATCTCATCTGGCTACAATACTAAGTTCATTTTACGTGTAATCTGCTTTTCCTTCGGTAGTAAGAATTGGGTAACGGTGACAAACATTAGTTCTACTGCGTTTATCGACCACTGTATACACAATGCGGTTGCGTTGCGTGTACTGAAAGAGTAAACTAAAAGATACAATATGCCTTAAGTTTATTTTTGGTCCAGGTAGAACCATTGAAATTTCCCAATTATGATATTTTGTTTCTCATTGAACTATAGTTTTGTCCCCCGTGTGACAATTTGCAATGGAAATTGGCATTGTCGAGCAAATAAGCATGATGATGATGATAACGATAATGAACTAGAACGAATTGGGAACCCGTGTTATGGAACTGTGGTCAAACGAAAGTTACCGTGGAAAATCAATAAGTGAGATAGGCGAATTATTTTTGAGGGATTTGAACGCATAAACCTATAATCGTTCAAAGGCGCAATATAATACGAACCAGGCGAGTACACCTTACAATTTCACGAGACTAGTAAAGTGAAAAAATTTTGAACCAGTTGAATGTGACGTGGCTCATTCGAAAATCCCACAACAGAAATAATACGAATAATGATTGGTTAATACATTTGAGGCCAATGACTTTTTTGCATATTGTTTAACCAGTTTGATTTCTTCCGTTAATCTTCTCGTTAATATCTTGACTTTCCGATAACCTGATTGTGAGTTTTTTCTTTACTAATCTGCCACTATTTGGAGTGCTGCATAATCACTAGATCAAAACGTTGACAGTCTGTACCGCTTAAACTCCCAGTAATGCCACATACAGGGGATGTTCAATGGACTATACTCATTCGCCAACTCAAGTTCTAATAACTAACATGTAAAGTGACGGGTCCAAAGAAGAGCGTCGTTGAAAATGCCCGCCTCAATTTGAACAAGTTTACAATATGATCATTCAGTAACCAAAAAAACATTTCAAGTTTGATACTAAAAAGGGAAATGAATAGCATTGGGTTGTTTGTTTGTTTTAACTGAACTTCCTTCAGACTTTCTCGTGACGCACAATCACCAATTTATTCATTCGGTAAACTATCCACCTGAAATGTACGAAGCTCGAGTTTTCCTTTTGTAGAGCACATCCATTGGCTCACTGGGGACGGGAAGGAAATTTAGAGGCCTCAGATGGAAGTTCTGTGCAAAAATACGACGCAAACCAGCTCGGAATGGACTGACCAGATTCATTGATTCAGGTGTGTTCAGATAGTCTCCAGGAGAACCGTCGTCATCTGCAACATCTAACATCAATGAAGGAAAACAGATAAATCTCGGCGAAATTTACTGTTTGCAAAGCTAGGTGATCCGCAAACTCCCCGTTAGGTATGTACCAATTAGGAGATAGTTGAGTAGCTGTATCGTTCATGTACGTCTGTTTCAACCGCTCACCAATTAGATTACGCATGCAACAACACGAAGTTCTTTCTGAGATCGAATCTGAGTTCTCTGGGCGACGGTGCCCAAGTGGTTAGGTCACCAACTAGTGATCTGGGTGTTCTGGATTCAAACCGCTCCACCGCCACCCGTCTTACCCATATCTGTATTTTCTCTAGGCAGCCTTTGTGTGGCCGCAGACTCCTTCCTGAAAGTTGACTGTACATTTGTATATTCAATAAATAGAAAAAGGAAGTAAAAAGACATTTTTTTAACCATCAACTTGTAGAATGAATTGCAACGAATGGTCACGAATCATGCTTATCGCACTTTGTGGGAATTGCATTGATGTCCCAAAATCCGATGTCGAGTTAAAATCTGATAAAACTAGTTTTTTTCTTGCATACAGTTTAGAATTCTTAGCAAAAAGTAATCAATAAAGGCACCGTGGAGCACAAAGTTTCAACTTAGGCTTTGGGGAATCTCAGTTCTCTAGTAACAGTTTTCGACTGGAATAGATGTGAACCAGTAAGCAGACACAGATGATGTTTGTCAAATTAGACTTGGAGCGCTTTCAGCAGATATCTGTTTCTGGTTAGTCTCTGGAACTTCCTCTCCAAACATTATCGTAAACGGAGTCAGACAAGTATACGAAACACAGGGTTTTGTTGTTGTGATGGTCGGAAGAGATCACACATTTTTAACGCCACCTGAAAAAAAGAACCATCATACATCTGATAGGAATTCAGAGAACTATACACAACTTTTCCCCTCAGTATCGATTCTATCCATGTACGGTACTGTCGCTCCCCTTTAAGTGAGTTAGAACTCCTACGGATAATTCCGATATTATGAAATATGTATCCAGAGTTTACAATTCGATATATCATTTATATGCTTTTAAGGACATTTCACGTGTATTTTACCCCTGTTGAGACCACCGGGATTTGAACCCGGATGCGGGTGCTTCATTGACCGCAGTTATTAGCATCATTCTGATGTGAACCTAAAGGCCAGCTGATCACTACTCCACACCGACCTCCAAGCCGTGCATACACTTCATCAAGCGTGAAACCAGTCTGTGCAGCACCCCAGTCTTATTCAGAGAGTAAATCATTATAGATGCCACGTGCAGTGGGACAGGGACTCATGGAACAGTGTGCACACAATTTTTTAGCCGCTGCCACGACTGAACCGCAAGCACAACATCAGGAGAAACTCCTATCAGCTGTTGTTTCAAACCGCGCGGTCCACTGGACCGGATCCGCAAATAGAGAAACCACATGGCGCACGTGCAATTGACAATGCTGCATGCGTGGATCGTGTGATTGCATCGTACACCAGGTCGAGCAAGGAAAGTACCCTGGCGAGTGTGTGACGGACCAACGATTCACGCCTACCGATGAGTGGTTTATTTTCCGACGACCTTGACAGTGCCGTGCGTTAGTGCACTCGTGGTAGTACGTGTGTGGTTGGTTGACCTCGGCTTCACCCGGTTGGATGCACCAATCAGTAAACAGCAGATGCGCTCGCTTTACCTTCAAGTCACGCATTCATGTATGTGTATGTGTGCACAAACTAATTTCGTCCGTATGTCGATCGGATCCAAAAGACACGTGCACGGTACATATCTCTGCGATATGTTGTAACAGCATATCGGAGAAGCCGCAATTTTTTCGAGGACTTCTCCAATCGCCATTACGTACGAGACGGCATAGTTCAGATCATTCCTTATTTGAAAGAGTCTTCTCGTTCCAATGGTCCTGAAACCGACACATTTGATTGGTCAAGCACACGTGTGCACATCCATTAGAACGTATGTGTGTGCGTGTATGCTTGCATGTATGTATGCGCGTATGTGAATGAATGAGTTTGCACATCCAAGTCCCCGAACAACACGATTAGGCAGGCCTGAATTTTCAGAACCGGTACAAAACAACTTGAGTCCGACCTGGTGTAAGTGCGTGACGACGCTCACAAATTGCAGTGCCTGCTTGGGCGCGAGTGTATCTGTGTTTTTGTATATAACGCCGCACCCTGCCGTCCGTCGTCCGTGCGTACATGTGTGCATGCGTGCGTGCGTCCGTACGTGCAATCGTTTAAGTGTGTGCGTCCGTGATAACGGTCTCTCTCAAAGACAACGACCGATACGAAAACAAAACCCCCGATTCAAAATCAGAACGTTATTCTCGTGTCCAACACCTTGACGAACTTGTTCGCCCGGTTCACTCACTTCGTGGCCTGGTTCGTTCGTTCACAGACACACACACATCCAGTCAGCTAGCTAGCTCGTTCACAACCCGCACGCACGCATAACTACTTATCAATATCGGATCTTTGATTGCTCATGTCACCTGGCGGCAACGGTTGCAACACAACTACCATTACTAGCGGACCCAGTGGCACGGTGGTCCCGAATAACAGTACCGGCAATTGTCACAACGGCACAACTGGCGTATCCCGAAGTCCGAGCACAACCATGTCCTCTTCTGTGTCCCATTTGCAAAAAGACACCACGCTGACCAAGATATTTGTGGGCGGTTTGCCGTATCACACGACCGATGACAGTTTGCGATGTTTTTTCGAACAATTCGGCCCGATCGAGGAAGCCGTGGTCATTACCGATCGACAGACTGGAAAAAGTCGTGGTTACGGATTTGTAAGTTCCATCTACGCATATCGCATTTGATTCACACGAGAGAGAACTTGACAGAATAAGGTAGGCATCAATAAGTTATTTGTATGGCTGTCAATAGGTGGCGAAGTACATCTGACTGTCCGCTGAAGTGAATAATTATAATGAGTATATTAATTATCAGAATAATCTTGCTTTCAGTTCTATTTATTTGATATCCAATCGAATTGAAATCCACATTGAGTCAGACGATAACAGTCGACACAGATATAGGGTGCCATTCACGAACTGGTACGATGGTAAAGGGGTTCCAACTCAAACTATGGGACAAACGAGGTGTTGTCATGACTGGATTTTCGGTACATTGTTGATATCCGACCTGAGGCAATCCCCCTATGATGGTCAGCGAGGCGAAGAATGTCCACTAATAATTGATCGAAATTTCGAGAAAGTCTAATTAATTTCATCTCTCGCATACTTGCAGTTGGTAGTAAATTCAATTCGTTTAATGCTGTGCCTTGGGGGTGATTCATCATTGTATTTCAGCTTGCATGAAATAGATTTCTTTCGGGCTGTATTCCCCACTCGGATAACAAATCATCTAGGAAGAGTGTTTTAAAATCTCCTTTCGGGGACTCCATTTTTGGTTCATACGCTTGCCAACAAGCGAAAGGGGAGCTGCGTATGACATTCGGTACACTCGTCACATGTGGAATAGCATTTTCTCTCTCTCTCTGTGACTGTCATTGTTCATCCCGATCTTCCTTCTCTAATGTGGCAGCCGGTGAGTGAGCGAGTGAGTGGAACAACCTGGACGAAATCAATGAACAGAATAAATGTCACAGGATTTCACATTATTAAATCGTTGCGAACTCCCGATGAAAATGTTCTGTCCGTTTGCCGTAAAATCATGCTTAAAAATTGTGCGTCAGACAAATGATTACTGTCTGATGAGGTTCGATGGTCGCAACGGCAGTCGACTGACGTGCATTGTACCAAATGGTTTTCGGATGTGAAACCAGTTGCCGATAGGTTATTTCAACATTTGGAAGTATTAGAGCAGACCGTCTTCTCATCCGGAATACCTGATGTGCTCAACTCATCACCAAACAGCGAATCTCATTCATTCGGTTACTCGCAGTTTATCTGAAATCACATGGACTTAAATATCTGTATACAGTATGGAAGCGGATTTCGAGACGCCTCCTACTGTAATGCTTGCCCAGTGGACACTGAGGGTATAGTTTACCTTCGTTACGTACCTTCAGACTGTTGCATAGAACTTCATTCTCGGCTATAGGAGGTATACCAATCTTCGGTCGAAGTTACCCTGACGAATTTAAAACAAGGTAATTCAGCCAGTCAGTTGTCTACAAAGAGCTGATTCAGTTTGACACTAAAGTAATCACAATGTTCAAACCGCCCGAAACTACCGAACGGTTAATTCCGCCCCTATTAACGGTTACATTTTCCGTTAGGAACATCTCATGTTGTCGGGCAAATTTACGTTTTTCAACTTTGTCACTTAAACGAATTAATACGAATGGTCAATTGAAGTGGAAATAACCACCCGTCATTAACGTAGGTAACTTTAACTGAGGGTTTTTAATGGTGATGACCGGGCTCTTTAAAGAAGATGGTTATATAGAGGTGAAATCGTGACATACAGACACCGCTGAAAATTTACTTGGTTGATATATAAGTAGATATATCTTGCACAAGTCTGGTTTCAGACCGTGTACCGAAAAAAATCACCGAGCAAAATAAGTTTCAAGATCTACTTGCGGGTGGAATACTGTTGCCCAAGCCAAGGCAGGTGAATTTTTTGGGGGAATTCTCAACCGGAGCTTTTGACTAGTCGAAGTCTGACCTGCTAGGTAGTTTGGCGGGAAATGCACACCGCAGTCCATCTGCGGGTCTGTCCAGTTCGTTTTTTTATTACACATATTTTTCGCGTAATAAACAGCTAACGGGGCGGACCTCTTGGTCACGTGGATCTGATACTCAGTGATGGAAAATGACAACCTAATCCCCGGAACCTGGAGCAGCGAACCACACAAGGCCCATTAAGATAGGTGTAGTATTGAACCGTATGACAACAAAGCAGCCCACCAAATTTGGATGGCGGCGGCAGGGTTTCGTAAGTCCAAGGTACCCGATACACCCTAGATGCCCAATCAAACCGGTGACCACTGCTACAACTGTAAAGGTTTGGTTTGTACGCCTCATGGTTGATTTGGACTCAGGGTTTTTGGCCAGCTCCCCTAGGTGAACTACCAGTAATTCATTGACCCGGTCATATCCCCAGATTTAGGCGTATTGCCCTCTCACCTCCGCCCCACGGGAAGACAGTCAGTAGGGCTTCCTCAACAGAGGGATTTTGAGACGCCTGGTTGTATGGGAGAATTTCGCGAGATGCATGAGAAAGGTGACCAGTGAATACCGAGACACCCATCCCCGATCCAAACTCCAATCATCAAGAATGCGTTCTTCATCTCCGGGTTCCGCTGTGTGCCGTACAACGGACAATATGTTTCTGCTGCTCAAAAACGACGACATGATGCACTGTTTTTGTTTCAGTAATACCGTGCATCCTTTAGAGTTTCTTTGGATCTAAATTTCTGGATTCTAGTTAACTCAATTCAGAAGAATACGGCAACTTGTCTATCTTTTGTTTCGACTCTATTGATCGGCCCTATTATTTCCAATTCAGGCGAGGTTCATGCTTGTTTCCTCTATTCCTTCTACTAGATTTACCGTTGATTTTCGAGTTCACTTCTCTCATTGAACCGATTTGCTCCTGATCGCCCTCTCCTCCCCCCGTTTCGGTTCCGAAATCTCATTCCCAGTCTTTGATTGTATGGGCACGTGTTTGTGGATGGGTGTGTTTAAACTAAAAACCATTCGCTCTCATCTCCATAGAATACGGGATTTTCTCACGCGATTGACTCTCCTAACATTATCGCTAATTTATTAAAATTTCTACCGTGTCTGTGAACATTTACGGTCCTCCATCTATGGTGTACGAATAGGTCAACACAAGGGGCTCGGTCAAATTGTAATACATTAAATAGTTTCGGCACTCGAAACGGTTACTTTTGCTAGCGAACAATTACCACCCCCTATAGGGGCACGAACAATCCTTGCACAATATCATGTGAAAACGTGAGAAAGCAATGGGGACTTTTTTCTACATTTTATCCAACCAATTGTTTGAAATCTCGTACTGACCTCGTTTCTCAGCCCCCGCCCCCGGCCTCTCTTTATAAAAGGGAAGAGCCGGGTTGCTGTTAACTGGTAGATCCCCATCGTTAATTTTGCACTTGGGGAAGAATGAGTCTGTTTCAAAGTAACTGAAGTGATAGACTGTATGTTTTGGGGCAGAATCGCTTCCAAACAGGTTTCTCAACATGCACCTGTTGTCTACCCCATCGGGGGTTACTTCAGAACTTGGTCGCTTGATTTCATAAACCGATCGATAGATTCTTGTGGTCCTAACATTTACTCCTTTTACTGATCAAATAAAACGCCTTAAGGAGCCTCCGTCCCATCGCCAGTAAACGCTGATTCTCACTGAGTATGTACGTATTAGGCTTATAAAGAAATTAGCTAGCCCCCAATAAAGTCGGCAACTTCTCTATTGCCTGTGAGATCTGATATTCCTGTACTGTGTTGTGTATAACTTAAGCAAGCTCTGAAGCTTATATTTCAGTTGAAAAAACTACACACCAATCGTCACGAAGAACATATTCCACGGGGAGCAAACGTTTACAAACATCCGACATTTCATGACCTGACGTTAAGACAAAGTTCACTTGTTACCCTTTCTTTGTTGCTGAGTAAACGTGCAAGATAAGGGTATAGGGAATTTCGGTAGGCGTTCATTGGAGATGAAACTTGATGGAATTGGGAGCGCGGGCAGAGATGGGAACCATAACGTGTCAGTTCTGCGTGCAATGGTGGCCAAGATCTGTGAGAATCCTCTCCGCACATTTCAAACAGGAAGTTGTGTGATACTCTGAAAGCATAACAGCTAACTCGTTCACAGGAATAAAAGAAACGTGGCTAATAATAGCTAGACTGCGGTGTAAGACTTTGAAATACTATTTGGGTCAGTCAGGAAAAATAACTAGGGAACAGTAGAGTAAGATGGGGAAAACATACTGATACACAAACGTAGAAATAACTAACTGGGATGCCCGAAAAAACTGCCTGAGCTTTCGAATTTGAAATGATAGGCGCCGTAGTTTACCAATGCATTTGTAGCTGTGGATTGACCAACGAAGATTGCTATGCAAACAGACAATTGTAGTTCTTCACCTTGCTGCAACTTATGTCATGGCGGGTGGAACAAAACTATGGCATTCCGAATACGAACCGATGTCAATAACAAATGATGAGTGAGATTGTCTTTGTTCAACCAACAACTCTGGCATGAAGGCTGAAAGGGCATAAAAAAGAACTGTTCTCTGACTACAATAATCAACAAACAGTGCGACACATGCGACACAAAACTTCAATGAACCACGATTGGCTAATCTTGAGGATGAACATATATTCGAATTGCATCCTTGATGTTTGGTTCTCTTCAGTTCTGTCTACACAACGGAACTCTTTCGTGCCCTGATCTAACTTTGTTTCTGGTAAGCAAAGGAGTAGAGGGCATTATTGTTACAGTAATGTCTTTGAATATGAGGAAGTTTGTGATGTAATAGTAATCACCATTCATGTCCCTGAAGCTTTGCTCACCGATGAAATCCTGTCAGAGACATGCATTCGCTAAACCCGTCCCAAGTGCCTTGATATACCGGATGGAAAATTGTCAATCACAACGACAATAACAAAAAACGGATATGCCACGTGTATATTAGCGTTTGTTCCACCAAATATCGGGATTCTGCGTTTATCCCATACACCACAATACCTCTACACTGCAATAGAAATGATAGGCTTGATTTGTGGTGTGTGCCAGAGACCTAAAAGTCCAGTTCCAAACGTGCCGCCTCATTACCGAAATGTGTTAA